TGTGCATTTTTACACTCCTGAAGTCCCTCAAGAGCCTTGAACTTGACTAAACTTTCAGCATTCCACCACAAAGGAAATGATTGTTATGTCCTTGCTGAAGGTGAATGTGTGTTTGTCATCTCTGGGAAGTGTGTGTCTGTGTATGTGTGTGTGTGTGTGTGGGGGGGTGTGTGTGTGTGCGTGTGTGTGTGTGTGTGTTAGGACATGGCCACATGCAAGCCAAGAGTGATTTCTCTGAACAAGAAGCCAGGTCAGACATTTGGCTTCTATCTGAGGGCAGAGCAAAGCGAGGAGGGTCACCTGATTCGCTGCCTGGAAATGGGAGGTCCAGCTGAACTGGCTGGTATGAAAGATGGAGACCGCATCATCCGAGTCAATGGAACATTTGTTGATGGACTGAACCATTCAGAGGTGAGCTGGATGCTGAGACATTGTCCACTAATCAAACCAATACCTGAACTAATCCAACCACCAACTTTACGTTTTGATTCTTCGTGGCGTCTCTCGGACAGGTGGTGGACCTGGTGAAAAACAGTGGAGCCTCTGTCACATTCCACATTCTGGATGAATCATCCTATAAGCAAGCTAAAGCCCTTGGAGTGAACCTTTCTGACCCACAAAGCACGCCTGTTACCAATGGAGGGACAAAAGGGGCTCCAAAACCCAAACTCTGCTACTTGGTCAAGTCTAGCTCAGGATATGGCTTTTCTATTCGCTCAGTTACAGGTGAGATGAGTATAGACCTTCAAACTGACTGTAAACTTTACAGTTTAAGTCATAAAAATTTAATAAAAAAATGCCACATTCATGTATTTATGGAAGTAAACAATTTATTTGACAATCAGTACAGCAGACTTAGAAATAACAACGACTTAGGTTTGATGTACAGTAATTAAAATCTGAATAAGTTGTACACAACTTTGTTGAAAATGAAGAAAGGAATCCAGTAGCCTTTGATTCAACTTGTTAGGATTATCATATCCTCATGATTGAGAATTTACACCAACATCTTGCTTTTATAAATAAACAAYACATGAATTGCCCTTTTTACTTGTTACAAGACACAAGAGTACAATGTGAAAATCTTGTTTCAAATTTGCGCCTCTGCTACATTTTAGCAACTTTGATGAAATTGGTCAACCTTTGCATTGAAAAAATATTTTTGACATATGGTAAACATTCTCAAGACATCTGTTTAAAATCAAGCATAAAAGTTTTTTTTTTCTCATTTTAACCAGAGGTGTCAAAAGTATTCACATTCATTACTGAAGTAGAAGTATTGATACTAGGGTTTAAAAAATACCTTTTCAGAAGTAGAAGTATCAACTTGAGCTTTTTACTCAAGTAAAAGTATAAAAGTACTGGTTTTAAAACTACTTAAAGTAATGAACACTATAAAAAAGTCCATTAAAGATGAAATCTTAGGCT